TATATATAAAGCAAAGTAGCAAACATATGTCCTGCATACCTACACTGTAAATAAAGTTTATCTGAATAAGTTTATCAGTCTTTTTACTTAATTTCATGTTTAATTCAATGTATTACTTTCCATTTCTTTGTCATTAACAGAAATATACTAGGAATTTGTGAGTGAAAATCGTTTCTACACATTTTACATTGTTTCTATATTTTTACAGATTAACTCCAATACAAAACATTTCTGGACAAAATGTTATGATTTCTACAACAGTTAAAGTCAAGACCCTGTCCGATCAAGATCTAGCCTGGAAACAAGCGGTCCATTTTAATAGATTTTTTCATCTGAATCCCAGAGCTCATTTTTACGGTTGTCAAGTAGCCATTTAGAGCAACCGGATTCTTGCAAATTCCCTCTAAGCACGTTGACCAGTGGTTGAGGAAATTATCATCTTTTGTACAGAAATAGACCTTAAACCAGAACCAGACCAAGACTTTATGCTTGGAGACCCAGATGAATAAGATGACAACATCATGACATAAAGAGTGAAAACAAGCCTTTTTAAATCACAGGACCTAAAACCCTGCAAAGGTTATATCTGGTACTGAAGAAGATCTTGTAAAACTCCCAAATTCATTTTAAGTTCTTCAGCAGTTAAAACAAATGAAATGTTCCACCTGTTAATTCACAGACAATAAGCATTTACATGTCTGAATTGTGCCTCGGTAAAACCAGTCCAACGAAAGTCACTCTGCAAATCACTGATTTTCAGTTGTTTTAATGGAGACATTGATTAACCTTATTCTGTGATGAGTTACATTAGTTTCCGACTCGCAGCCAGACTTAGAAAAGAAAAAAAAAAAAGTATATCAATATGCCATTTGCTGCAAAACTAAGGTACATTATTTACATTCCAAAAAACAAACAGAAACATCAAAACAAAATAAGAATAATAATAACAACAGTGCCGATGGTTCTTAGGGATGGGAGTGAATACTGAAGCCTAGAAATGGCAAGTTAAAATTCTGAACTGATCTGTGTCTCAGAATGACTCTATGGTGCGCCCCGGGGGCCGGAGCCAAAGCGAAGACATTTCAAGAACATCGGAGATGTTCGTCATCTCTTCAGACATTTACAAAAACACTTTGTAAGAAATAAACGAAATACTTAAACAGACCAGGAAGCAAAATGTTCCCGATCTCATTCTTAACGTTCCATTGCAGTAGCCCGTCTGAATCCGGGAGGTTTCCTGAAGTTCACTTGCTCCTGAGGCACCTGTCGGATCCTGTCCATCTTCAGCCACGTCTCACGTTAGAAAACAACAGGTGGGAATATCCTGAAAAGGGACGAGGGTTGAGGGGAAAAAAATGTTTGGGAAAGCAAAGGAATGGATGGTGCTTTAAGGGAAAATGTGCAAATCAATTTCCTATCTAAATCAACGTTGGCCATTTTGTTTTGCCATTCGAGGGCTGGAACGATAAAGAAAAAATACTGGTGCGATTAACCATCCCTCTTCTCTCTGTCTGGTTAAAAAACACGTTTTCAGTCACCGATGTAAATTTTTTGGCCCCACAGGGCACCTACTGCAGTAGTGCATAAATGAAACAAAAAACAGAAACCGTCATTGTTTTCCTACAGTTTGAAACCATCCCACAATAATAATAATAATAACAACAATAATAATAATGCTTCAAAGATGCAGGAAATTATTGCCTAAGGCATGATTCTATACAATATTTTCAGTTCATACTTTGTAAGTGTTTAAGGAAAACAATCCTTGTATCTGCTACTTGTTCAAAAAGAATGTTCAGCTTGATTACTCTAGTTTTGTGCCTTAGTCCTTTTTGCTGCTTTTTCACATTTTCCACTTTTTTCCTTACAACTTCAGTTCGTTGGCAATTTTCGAGGCGATGTTCTTGAAAGCGATGGACGTTCCTGATATCCGCTTGAAGCGCACGCCGTTTAGCGAGAGGCGGGGCAGTTTGCACACCTCCATCTCCCATTGGACCAAGCTCTCTGCGTGGCCGTCGCCGTGGACGCACAGAAGCAGGAAGCGCTCGCGCTGCTCGTAATCGCAGTTGTTGGCGTCCAGGATTTTGCGGATCTCGCGCATCATCTCTGTGGGCTCCATGGAGGAGGTGGTCTTCATGCTCCAGGTGAAGCGTAGCGAGCGGGGTTTGGCGTCTTTATGTTCCTCTTTCTGATCCCCAGATACATTACGACTGCAAGAGACCAGAGAAAACAGTCATTTTTCATTTCAGGTGTATTTTAGATCTAGTTCACTGTTCATATATAGCTTTCATTTGGTTTGTATGATCAAAAATTTAAATGTAACCAAGATTTCTGTTTTGAATTGTATTTTTAAATGTAGATGTACCCTTACAATTAGAGTAGTGTAGATGTATATGTGACCCTGGACCACAAAAGTCTTATGTCGCTGGGGTATATTTGTAGCAATAGCCAAAAATACATTGTATGGGTCAAAATGATCAATTGTTCTTTTATGCCAAAAATCATTAGGACATTAAGTAAAGATCATGTTCCATTAGCCAAAAATTGTATGGGTCAAAATGATCAATTGTTCTTTTATGCCAAAAATCATTAGGACATTAAGTAAAGATCATGTTCCATGAAGATATTTTGTAAATCTCCTACCGTAATATATTAAAACGTAATTTTTGATTAATAATATGCATTGCTAAGAACTTCATTTAGACAACTTTAAAGATGATTTTTTTCAGTATTTAGATTTTTTTGCACCCTCAGAATTTCAAATAGTTGTATCTCGGCCAAATATTGTCCTACCCTAACAAACCATACATCAATGGAAAGCTTATTTATTCAGCTTTCAGGTGATGTATAAATCTCAATTTAAAAACATTGACCCTTATGACTGGTTTTGTGGTCCAGGGTCACATATTTACAATTTACAGTTTTAATTAAGTTTTTAAATTTTTTGAAAACACCTACACTATTTTTTTTTCCATTAAGTACATCAGAATTGACAGAAAAGTTTCGGATCAGTTAGATGTTTTTCCCCCCCCCTTTTTTAACAATGTTCTAAATATTTTTTACTCAGCAAGTACGCATTAAACTGTTCAAATATGATATTAGAGACATTTATAATGTTACAAACTATTTCTATTTCAAATAAATGCTGTTCTGTTGAACTTTCTATTCATCACGTGACTCTGAAGGCTAGATTAATGGCTGCTGGAAATTCAGCGTTGCATCATAGGGATAAATTATATTTAAAATGTATTCAAATAGAAAACCGTTCTTTTCAATTATAATATTTCACAATATTAATATTTTTACGGTATTTTTGACCAAATAAATGCAGCCTTTGTGAGCATAAGAGACTTCTTTCAAAAACATTAAAAAAAAAAATCTTACCGACCACAAACTTTTTTTTAGTTAATGAAAAAAAAATACTTATAATTTTTGTA